GAAAGCGCAGTGTTTTGCTCTCCATGAGTCTAGCGTCAGCTGTTTTAATTACATTTTTGCCAATGCCATTTTAAGTCATACGCACATTTCTAAAACAATGTAATATAAATGCGAATAAAGGAAGTAGACTTGGGCCACGCAGCGACGGATATTATTTTTAGTTCATTACATGAAATAAAGATAAAAAATAACTAACACTTAAGTTAATAAAAAAGAAGGTATATATCTTTATTTTCGTCGTCTCCTTCTTCCATCGTTTTGTAACAACAATTTTCCGGGAAATGTCCAAATAATATACGCAATTGGCATAACGAAAATCATCTTAAAAGAAGACTTCAATGACGCAGCAATAATTTCAATATCCGTGCCTATCTCGAAAATGAAGAATTAAAGTAGTGTTTCCGGTTGCGCGCGCATTGAGGAAGTAAAAATTGTTACGTGTGATGACTGAATGTTGTTAATTCGAGTGTTCGGATGATTGGTTGTTGGCTAGAGCTGAAATTGAGAAGCATTGTCTTTTGTATGGCAAATGACGGGTAGAGGTAATGGCGTAGATTATATTTCGAGATAGTTTTAAGGAATCTTGAAATAATCACTTACAGAATGTCGTAAAGAAGCGGCCTCTTTAAATTAACAGGAAATTAATTATTTAAGAGTGAAAGCAGAGATTAGAAGAAACTGCAGAAAATGGGAAAACAGAAGATATCCAGGAAAGAAAGAAAGAAAAAAGAAAGAAAGAAAGAAATTTTAAAGAATGAAGGAAGAAAAATCGACGATGTAAAACAAAAGAAAGAATGAACGAAAGAAAAATATAACTTTCGAAGAATAAAGAACAAAGAAGAAAAACGACAGAAAGAAAAAGAAAAGTTTCAAGAAATAACGGTAGAAAATTCGAAGATGTTAAATAAAAGAATGGACGAAAGAAAGAAAAAGAAAAAAAAGAAAGCAAGTAAAAAAGAAAGAAAGAAAGTATGTAAGTAAGTAAAAAAGAAAGAAAGAAAGTATGTAAGTAAGTAACAAAGAAAGAAAGAAAGAAAGAAAGAAAGAAAAAGATAACTTTCGAGGTATAAAGGAAGAAAAATGGAAGATGCTAAACAAAACAAAGGAAGAAAGAAAGAAGAAATAAAGAAAGAAAGAAGTAAAGAAAGAAGAAAAGAAGTAAGAAAATGAAAAGTTTCAAGGAATAACGATAGAAAAGAAATTAAGACAGAAAGAAAGAAAGAAAAATATAACTTTCGATGGATGAAGGAAGAAAAATGGAAGATGTTGAACAAAAGAAAGGAGGAAAGAAAGAAAGAAAGGTAAAAAGAAAAAGATAACTTTCAATGAATAAAGGAAGAAAAATCGAAGTTGTTAAAGAAAGAAAGAAAAAAGAAAGTAAAAGATAATTTTCGATAAATATAAAAGGAAAAACCGAAGATAAAGAAAGAAAAATGTACGAGAAATAGATCAAGAAATAAATAAATAAGGAATGACTAAAAAGAAAAAAGAAAAAACTACGCGTGCGAAATAAAGAAAGAAAAAAGAAGGTAGAAAAATGAACGCTAGAGATTGAAGGTGAAAGGCGTATTTATTTTAGAAAGAAAGAAAGGAAAGACATTTCTTTGAAACATACGATTACAAATAATAATACGAAGAAGTTATCGATGATATAATAAGCGAATATCGCATCTTAGATGATGAGGAATACAGAAAGTAGATATGACTTGTTAAGGAATGTGATCTACCAGGAACTGTGAAAACTACAAGAGACTGATCAAACAGACTATTTTTTATACACAGATCAGAATTTGTTTTGGGGAATAAAAAAAAATAATATTAACTGTGGTCTTAAAAAGTAAACTGATCCGTAAATACGGAGAATATTTTAGACAGATAGACAGGCTCGAGTTTCCAGACGATCATATACTAAAAAATAATGAAAGATAACTAAAAACTGGGAAACAAATATCTACACCGTATTAGTGGACAGGAAATATTGTGAAATATTAATATGATCGTGGTATCTATTAGTAGTAGTAAAAGTAGATCATCCCAGGAAATGATTTGCAAATGTATTTTGAATAATGGCGATATAATCGAAGCACTCAAGGCGATAGAGAAATATATAGGATACGACGGTTAGAGTTTTATCTAGGAGATGGAAGAATTTTGAGAGTGGACTACAAACGTAGGAATGGAGAACAGAGAAACTGAAAATCCGAAAAGAAGTAGCGTCTCTGATATGCCAATTAATGTATTCACGCTGTCAAATCTGAATCTCTATCAATAAAAGGCAGGGTGTGTGTGTGTGTGTGTGTGTGTGTGTGTGTGTGTGTGTGTGTGTATCGAATGCACGGCCGCAATTTTCGACGGATTTGCACCAGAATTTACATGCACATGCTCTAAGTTAGCGGGAAGACCAAGACCGACTTTGCATTTTCCAACTCCCATCGATAGTGGAAATAATCGATTTTTTTCATGTTTCTACGGCACTTCATGTAGTTTGCGGCCATTTTCTACTGGCCAGAGTGAGAGCCAGTAGCTGGCTGCCACGAATAGGCAGGGAGATTCTATTGGCCAGCGTGAGAGCCAACAGCTGACTGACACGAATGTTACTAGCATGCTAGCATGCAAAAGAAAATCGATAGCTGCATTCGTCACAAGTGGGAAAAATTTAAATCTGCATGGCACTTTACTCCAATTGGCTCATTCGCTTGCTTAAAATCAACGTTGATTCTGATTCCGCAGAACTGGGTTGGGTGTGAAAAAGTATTTGTTGTTAACATTCTTTTTTCATTCGGTTTTTTTTTTCTAGTCAGGAGTCCTTTTTTGTTTGTTTAGTTCTTTTTTCGTAACAGATTTAATGTTTACTATAAAGCTTAGAAAAAATTCGCAGTATGAGAAGTAAGGCATGTAGCAACATCAGCACGGCAATTTAAAAGCAAGGAAGGGCAAAAATATTTTAAGTGAAGCGATTGCCGTATGAGTCGTACGATTTTTGAATCAAGCACGGGCTGTGGCGCAATTTACCAGGGCAAAAAAGAAAAGAAAGAAAAAAGAGAAAGGAAAGAAAAGCAAAGAGAGGCGAAACTTAATCGTAGATGATAAAAGAAACCACCCACGACCAGGGGCCTTGACAATGTTATTTTGATAAGTAGCAAATGGCGAAAAGGTGTCATTACCATTGCAAAAAAATTCTAAGTGGATAAGGGAATCGACTATGTTCTGGCGACGAACTTGTGTTATCGGGGATATATAACAGCCGCTTAATGCGGGCAAACATCTAATTAGCAAACCACAGACCGACTAGCTAAGAAAACTCCAATTGATAATGTTATTTTGATAATTGACAAAGAACACTTGAAATACAGGGTTTGGATAGATAAGAAAAATTAACCGTGTCGTCTGCTAAGCCGCACACGAAACCAACCCTGAGTAACGACTGACCGTTTTTTGACAAGACATCTTCGGTTGTGATAACAAAACTATGTTATCAGAAATTGGCACCAAAGAATGACTAGAACAATGGAACTGTTTTTTCGAGGCGACGGTCGATTGTGTTTTGCTGGAGGACCACCCATTCTGATGATTAGCGAAAATCTGACTGACGAAGTCCAGATGAGAATAGAGGTTATGACACTACTGGTTGCATTGTTCTGTTGGCGGCCAGAGAAGATGAGAGCTGCGATTAAGGAAAGAAAAGGAAAAGAAAAAGATAATTTTTTTTGAGCAAGATATTTTTTTTTCTTCCTGAAACAAAGCCAGCTGGATCGCACACGCCCGGCTGGACATCATTGGCCGGAGGTGATCACGTGACGCAAGGAGGGAAGCCGCCGCCGCCCATTTAGAGGATGGGTATGAGTGGGGAGATCCGTTGACGCCCCTCTGAAGTATGGTGAGAAGGTGGGAGTAAGAGAAGACTACCAAAAAATGGAAAGAAGTGGAAAATTCCTAACCAAAAATAAAAGAAGTGGATATGTATTTAGAATTATCGAGGAACCTCCAACGCCGAAAAATCCACCCCGGTTTTGGTCGGCATCCATATAAGCAAAGTCGCAGCGAGCAGAAATCAGTTGAGTTGAGTTGCTATAATGCGCGCGTGGCCGAGTGGTTAGAACGTTTTCTTTCTGACCATGATACCCTGGTTGTTTTGCCAGGAAGGAGACTTTCTGATGTTATCTGTCTGGTGGAGGATGGTCACATCGTACTGTATCTTTGGAAACTGCCTGAAAATCATACCACCATTTGACCCAAGCCTTGTGGTAGCCGGAAAACTTGGGTGACCGACAATAGCTGTGACTAGCACGAAGTCACAAGGCATCGTGACCGAGAGTTTAAGTGGGCTGGCCTTGTTCAGATTGTTGATAACGCGATATCTCCCAGAAACTGTAACTAAGGTCTGCTAGGCATAATTGCAGTATAAACCACAGGTTGGCTCTGTGAATTTTGAACAAACACAGATGTGTCTGAGCAATCGTTTGAATTAGGGACGAGTGTCTTCGAATACGTGTGGCCACTATTATTATTGGCAGTTATACTACGTAAAAATTTCCATATTGCAACGTTTAATATTTGAGATTAAGAATAAAATATTGGAAAAGCCATCACGAAGTTTAAAACCGGTTGTTATTTTAAGAAGTAAAGATAGAAATGAAAAAATAACCGAAAAACTTTTTCATTTTCACTGAAACAGACGTTAAACACTTTTATCTCCTAATTTACTTCTTTTTTTTTCTTTCATTCATTTTCTCACTGAAACTACTTAGCGTTTCTGATATGTCTTTTCCGTCTTTCCCTGCGATCAAATCGGAATAAAGTAATATTTATTAGTTATTTTCAGGGCCTAACGTATTTACATGATAACTAATAAACAAGGACTCATTGACAGAATTCCTGCTAACCCATGCCTTAAAGATGAAAAGAAAATACGATTTTCAAAAATCTAAATGCAAAGTCAACCGTCATCTTCTTATTTTGTTTTACTCTTAGTAATCCCTGTCTTACTGGAGGTGAAAATTTCAGACTGAAGAGAGGCAACGGGTGAGAGAAGAAAGAAAGAAAGAAAGAAAGAAAGAAAGAACGTGAGGGAAGATAATACAGTCTAGGAGTCAGGGTGGGCACATATCGACTATGTTTAAGGTGAGAAGAGAAAATGGACAGAGAATGGAATTAATAAGGGTAAAGTATGAGAAAGACAAGAGAAAGAGAGACATAGAGTAACATGATGAACGCTAGCATTTCTGGATTAACAACGATAAGAGATAGGAGTAGAGTTACCAAAATATCCACGGGGAATATGATTGAAAGGCTGATCATCTCCGAACATCAAGAAATCAATACCACAGAGTTTAATAAATATCAGTGTCACCACGGTGATAATGATAATTTTAATCGTCGCTGTCATTACTCGATTTATTAAGCATACTATTGCTTTCTTGAAACCTGTTTTAATTGTTACTATTCTTTATTTGTCTGCATTTTTTGCGCATAGATTTAATGGATGCTGGGGGAGCTCATGTGACAAAAGTCACTTAAAAGCTTCGCACTTTCTTCAATAGTCCTGCTGCTTTCAATAATGGTAATTGTTGTAGAATTCATACGGACGATAACGGGTATGTCCGCATTCACATATATACAGTAGTAAATACTGTATGTTGGTCTTCAGTTAGAGATTCATCTCCAGCTGTGCTGGTCAAACTCTCTACATATAGGTAGAGAGGATCTCCAGACGAGGCTATGTCGAAGGGCAGCGTCTCGTCTTGAGAAACAGCTACCCGGGTCAGTTTTATATGGAGTCTACAGGGAATTTTTGGCCGAGCCTACGGGCTCGGGTACCCCACGTTAAATTCGGCCTTGTGCCACACCTGACCGCGTAGGGCGGTTGGTAGATATCCTGCAGTTGGAGATTCGTCTCCAGCTGTGCTTGTCAAACTCTCTGCCTCTGGGCAGAAACGATCCACAGACGGGTCTATGTCGAAGGGCAGGCAGATTCTCGTCTCGGGAAACAGCTACTCAACACCGTTTTATACGGAATATACGGGGAATTTTTGGCTGAGCCTACGGGCTCGGAATCCTCACATTAAATTCGGCCTTGTGCCACATCTGGCCGCGTGGGGCGGTTTGTAGATGTGCAGTTGGAGCTTCATTGTGGAATTCACTTGACTCACTTCTAGCAGTTGACTACTACTTCTAGGCGCCGCTGGCGAATCTTATATATGTTGTTCTTGTCCTAAGTATTATCGTTCATTACCAATCTTTGTGTGATTATTCTATTCAGTAACCTTCCCTTCTGTTTCCTAATAAAGAATTACCTGTTATCCATTAATCGAGCAACCAGTGTTTATGTCTATTAAAATTTAATAACATTTTTCTATTAAAATAATTCTTATCAGAAAAATAGCTTCCTCGTGTCCACTAACTGTTATCTCTCTTTCCAGTATTGATGAAGGTTTCCTTCTTGAACGTTGCTGATGTAGTGTGCAGGATGGCTATCTTGATTAGGTCATAATTTTCTCTTTGAGTTACATGAGCTGTTCATTTTATTTGACGCAATTTATTTTTTGGGATTCTGTAGCGCCAGTCTACGTGGTTCGAAGAAGGATAATCCTCTATAAGACCTACAAACTTCATTTTAAATCATTGACCTGAGAAAGCGGTTATGTAAAGCTGACATTTTTCATATTTCTGAACGAGCTTAGTGACATACATGACACGGATATAAACGTCTCGATCTGACAAGACTATTTTAGAAGGTGGCTCGTGTTATAAAATAATAATTTAGTTTTCTTAGCAACTTACAGGGATGGCCGAAACCGGCTCAATGCAACGTATTATTTGTTGAAGTCCCTTATCCTCTTTTCTGACGTGTTCCTTCGGGACGTTGTTTGAAATAATGAAACATTTCAAGACAAGAGAGATTCCCCATCATGTTACTCTCGTATGGATTGCATTTCATTCATTCTGGCCTCGTTTCTTTCGTTTTGACGCGTTGATTACCAGTACAACCGTTTTTTCTCAAGACAAGCGGCGTTTTATACAAATATTTGTATTTTTCTAATATTGTTATCCTTGTATACGCATTTGAAACAAAACTTAAAGAAGGCATACATACTGTCGAAATATCATTAAACTCTGTTAAAAACTGTCTTTTATTTTCCTTTTCATAGGCTCTTCACTAAATGTTAATAATAATAATAATAATTAAGAAAGAACACTGTGTAGAAAAATAAAATAAAGGATCTGGTGTTCAACAATGTTTGATGATATTCCGACAGTATGACTTTTTCATGTTATGTTTGAAAATTGCATATACATAATAATGGACTCTCCCGTCAATTTCGACGTATGAGGATATGACTGCTTGTTGATTCAGTTATGAAATTTTGTGCGATAAACTTAAGTGGCATTTAAGACCCGCTAGTGATTTACAAAGGAGGCCACATATGGAGTAAGAGTGAGGATTGTGAGATGAGATCACTGTTAAATTGGCTGACCTTTTAGATCTTGCTCTCGCTTCCTGAAGATGATTCAGACAAGCACATTGAAAATTGCTGAGTCCACTAAAACACGTAGATCTCCATTCTACCCGCTCCAAGTCTAAGTGCTCAAGGGTGTTATGAGGTATATTAACTGCTGACATGAATATATATATATATATATATATATATATATATATATATATATATATATATATATATATATATACCAAGTGTTTGTAAAAATGTCATTTGTCTTTAAAATAACACGGTTATAACTCTTAACGAGAAAAAATTAATTAAACGTAGCCAATATGAATGGAAAATAACTGAAACTTAAGTAACGTGATGGGGTTCTTAAACATCTTTCAATTTTTCATTATTATTTAATAAGAATAATTAATCAAACAGATGAGTATGGAACACTCCTGTCATTAGGTTCATCTAAGGAGATACAAAAAATTGTCCTGACAAGTACAGCCCACACTTTACGAAGGGCTTTATCTATGTATTTTTTTTTTTTTTTTTGTCAGTGGAAAGTGTCATGATGCCATTTCTAACCTTAGGTCCCTGGAGGGGATTCGGAAAGAAATGTGTAAACGCCAGAACTCAAAGAAAATAATAATAATAATAATAATAATAATAATAATAATAATAATAATAATAATAATACAATCAAAGCTAACCGCCCAGACACTCTTATTAACAATCAAAGCTAACTGACCAGACATTCTTTTAGAGACCGAAAACAAAAAAAAAGTGCCTCCTTATTGATATGGTAGTCCCAGCGGACTGCAATGTGTCTTTGAGGATCTTCAAAAAGCTATCAAAATACAAGGACCTTGAAATCAAAATCTAAAAAATGGGACACTATGGGAACATCAACTATTCCTGTTGTACTTGGAGCCCTCGGATTGGTTGGGAAAGATTCCAGTAGACTAATTGAAGGGATCCCTGGAATCCCATGCCTTAAAGAATTACAAAAGAATTGTTCTCACGAATAAAGCCCACACCTTACGAAGGACTTTATCTATGTAAAATATTTTCTTTTCTTTCATTTTTTCTTTTTTTTTTGTCAATAGAAAATGTCATGATGCCATTTCTAACCTTAAACTCTCGGCGGGACCCGGAACGGAATGTATACACACCAGAAATGAAAGGATATTAATAATAACTGCATTTTTACGGGAAGGACACTACAATAAATTTGCATGAGTACTACCCAGAACCGGTTCCCTGTAACAATTTTATGGGACTTTACAATAGAGAGAGAAAAAAGCTAATCTCCCAAATGTAGTAACCAAAGACTCTGAAAACAAAATGTGCTTTCATATTGATATGGAAGTCCCTACTGACTGTAATGTATTTTGAAGATCTTCAAAAAACCACCAAAATACGAGTATATTGAAGAAGATGGAGACATCAATATTTCCTTGGACTCTTGGGTTTGATTGAAAAAGGTTCTGGTATAATCATTTAAATCATCCCGTGTAGCCCATGCCTTAAAGCAATAAAAAATAAATCTCACAAGTCCAGTTCATGTATTACGAAGGGGTTATCTAATGTAAAATATATGTGATCTCCTGTTGTCTTATATTTATTTTTTAGAAAAATTTTCAGTGGAAATGTTGGAAGGAAATGATTATAGAACAGTAATGAAAGGAAATGATAATAATGATGATAATAATAGTAATTATAATTTTTTTTTATTTCCTGTTTTATACAAGCATTTATCAATACTTTTACCTGAGATCTATGTTAAGTTAAATGAAGGTTCTCCTTGGAAAGTATCGAAAAAGATTTTCTATGTGAGGAGTACTTACTAGAGGAATCTAATCTATGTTTGATAAAGACGAATTCTCTTAGACTTTCTTAACCCGTGGAGGGATATTCTTCTTAACTATTCCAAGCTCTCCTATACGTAATGAAATAATGACTGCGTTTAAATGCCAAATTCTTGTAATTTTTATTTCCAAATAATTATATGTGGAGCTTTTGTCAAATTCTTCGGTAGGTAGAAATTATGATCATATCGATAAGATAACATTACATTTTTGGAAGTCTTTTTGAAAATATTTTGTTTGGATCGACCAAACAAAATATTTTGTAAAGAACGGTCGGTGTCCATGGCGGAGTCTAAGAACGAAGTAAGTTCTAAAACTGCGGGTGGCTTTGACTGGTAGTATTTGTTTTGACCGTATGATCGAGTTTAAAATGTTAGCATAACTTCCAATGAATAACTGCTATCCAAACGAGTTTTTTTGTTTTTGGTTTTTTATTCATTCGGTGATAGTTTCTATTAAATTATTATTATTATCATTATTATTATTATTATTATTATTATTATTATTATTATTATTATTATGAAAGGATAGTATAGCCGATCAGGATAATAGTGATAATGTGTTTGAGTAATATATATATTAAAAGAATCTATTAAAGCATAACATCTTTATTGGAAAGTATTGGCCTTTTCGAACGAGAGAGAATTTTGAGCGACTTTAATATCAGTTGGAGCGAGAAGGCGGGAATTAATCAAGGGGCGTATAGCAAGTAGAAAAGACTGAATAAAAAAGAATAAAAGCAATACATATATATATATATGTGTGTGTGTGTGTGTGTGTATGTGCGCTTGTGTGTGGCGGGAGCGAACGACGAGGCTACAGGTAAGTAATAAAGTAAGGAAAAAAGGTAAAATAAAGTAAGATAAAAATTTTAACAAATATTAAGATGGAAATGATCAATGAATAAATGAAGAATCAAGAAGAAAATATTAATGAATAAAGATTGTCTCAAATTATGAATAGCAATTATGATTATAACAAAAGAAAAACTGACATTCAGAGGGAAATATCAGATCGATTTAAGTTTAAGTGATTACTAAAACTATATGACTAAAAAAAAAAAAAGACTGAAATGTAAAGCGTGAATAGAAAACAGAAAAATAAGAAAGAAAGTAATTTAAAGGAATATTTCAAGCAATATTGTGAGAAAAAATTGGAGTAAAATGCATAAACAGTGAAAACAAAATGAGGAAAAGAAAAGTATGGTTTGGAGGGTAGAAAGAAAGAAACAAAACAACAAAGAATATAAGAAAGAAAGAAAGAAATAAAGAAAGAAAGAAACATAGAAAGAAAGAAAGAAAGAAACATAGAAAGAAAGAAAGAAAGAAAGAAATAAACAAAGAAATAAACAAAGAAAGAAATTTAAAGCAATATTCTGGGGAGATATTTCAAAAGAATGAGAAGAGTATAGAGAAAAGGGTGTAAAAAATGACAGAAGGAAAAAAATAAAAAGAAAGAAAGATATTTAAAGGAATATTTCAAGGAATATTGTGACAATGAATTAGAGTAAAATGCATAAACAGTGAAAACAAAATGACAGAAAGAAAAGTATGGTTTGGACAGTAGAAAGAAAGAAACAAAACAACAAAGAATATAAGAAAGAAAGAAAGAAAGAAACAAACAAACAAACATAGAAAGAAAGAAAGAAAGAAAGAAAGAAATAAAGAAAGAAAGAAACAAACAAACAAACAAACAAAGAAATTTAAAGGAATATTCTGGGGAGATATTTCAAAAGAATGAGAAGGGTATAGAGAAAAGGGTGTAAAAAAATGACAGAAGGAAAAAAAATAAAAAGAAAGAAAGATATTTAAAGGAATATTACGAATATATATTTTAAAAGAATGAGAAAATATAAAGAAACACGAGTTAAAAAAAATGAAAGAAAATAAAATTAAAAAGAAAGAAAGATATTTAAAGGAATATTCCGAATAGATATTTCAAAGAACGAGAAGAGTACAGAGAAGAGGAAGTTAAAAAAAAAGCAAGAAAAAAATGAAAAAGAAAGAAAGCTATCTAAAGGGATATTTCGAATGGATATTTCAAAAGAATGAAAAGAGTATAGAGAAAAGGAAATGAAAAAAAAGAAGATAGAAGGAAAATGTGAAAAAGAAATTAATTTAAATGAATATCCGTGTGACATATTTGAAAGGAATGAAAACTATATAGAGAAAAGGAAAAAAAATAAAGAAAACGTGAAAAATGAAAGAAGATTTAAGGAATATTATAGGAATATTCCCGAGACATATTTAAAACGAATGAGAAAAATATAGAAAAAAGGAAGTAAAAAAGATGAAAGAAGGATAAAATAAAAAAGAAAATAATTTAAATAAATATTCCTGAGACATATTTCAAAAGAATGATAGAAATATAGAAAAAAGTAAAGGAAGTAAAACGAGAAATAAGAAAGAAAAAAATTATGTTAGTTAAAAAAGAAACAAAAGCTTGATGAAAACCGAAAAAAAGCATATGACAAATTAATTTATGAATGAAATAATGAACAAAGATTGAAGAAAGGTCTGAAAGGAAACTCGGGGCGGAAAAAATTGAATCAAGTGAAAGAAAGAACGAAAAAAATAAATCGATGTGAGGAGAAGAGAAAATAAGGAAATTTTCTTAAAGATTCAAGTTGAGAATGTCAGTAAAATTTACAAGAATGGAAAGAATATGGAGAAGAGAAAGTTCTTCTATAGACAATGTCTTTTCATGACGTGGGTGATCTTAGTCCTAATCGACTTTCAATCCATAGTTGTTTACATTTTTATCATCCTTCCCCTCCTCTCTTCTTTCATCCATTTACATAACTTTGGTTATTCACTGCTTTCCTCCACCCTCTCTCTCTCTCTTCTCTTATGAATTGTCAAGGCTTTTCTTTTTCTCATTATATATCCAAGAAATTTAAACTCTTTCGGATTTTATGTGTAAGTTTCCTTTTTGTGAACATTTTCATTACAACTTCGTCATTGCTCACATTTACCAAACACTCATTCCACAATATGTACTTTAGAAACTTCAACTGTCTTTTTCTGAGGTTTTTCTTTTGCATTTTCTCTAAAACTTCATCACTGCTCACAGATTCAATCTATGATATCCTCAGCATACTTCTGTAGAACCACATTTCTGTTGCTTCAAGTCTCTGAATGATCTGTAAGGAAATTGTCCGTAATTCACGGCCATTTAGGATTACTGATATTGCGTAACAGTTCAGTAATTTCTTATTTGTTTCTAACGACATTTTTAAATTTCTTAATATTTGCTTAGTTTTTTGCTATTCCAGGGCTCCTTCATATTTAAATGCCGCATTTTCAGACCTCTGTTAAAACACTTCCCAGATATTTTACTGTTTCTTAATAATTTGCATAGTTTTTAGAAGGCATCTTTTGCTATTACAATAATCCTCCTTATTTCAGTGTCGCCATTTCTGTCCTCTATTAAAATACTTCCCAGTTATTTTACTGTTTCTTAATACTTTGCTTAGCTTTTGGAAGGCATCTTTCGCTATTCCAATGCTCCTTCGTATTTCAGTGTCATATTTTCTTTCCTCTGTTAAAAGACTTCCCAGATATTTTACTGTTTCTTAATCCTTTGCTTAGCTTTTTGGAAGGCATCTTTCGCTATTCAATGCTCCTTCGTATTTCAGTGTCATATTTTCTTTCCTCTGTTAAAAGACTTCTCAGTTATTTTACTGTTTCTTAATACTTTGCTTGGCTTTTGGAAGGCATCTTTCGCTATTCCAATGCTCCTTCGAATTTCAGTGTCATATTTTCTTTCGTCTGTTAAAACACTTCCGAGATATTTTACTGTTTCTTAATACTTTGTTTAGCTTTTGGAAGGCATCTTTCGCTATTCCAATGCTCCTTCGTATTTCAGTGTCATATTTTCTTTCCTCTGTTAAAAGACTTCCCAGATATTTTACTGTTTCTTAATCCTTTGCTTAGCTTTTGGAAGGCATCTTTCGCTATTCCAATGCTCCTTCGTATTTCAGTGTCATATTTTCTTTCCTCTGTTAAAAGACTTCTCAGTTATTTTACTGTTTCTTAATACTTTGCTTGGCTTTTGGAAGGCATCTTTCGCTATTCCAATGCTCCTTCGTATTTCAGTGTCATATTTTCTTTCCTCTGTTAAAGACTTCTCAGTTATTTTCTGTTTCTTAATACTTTGCTTAGCTTTTGGAAGGCATCTTTCGCTATTCAATGCTCCTTCGTATTTCAGTGTCATATTTTCTTTCCCCTGTTAAAAGACTTCCCTGATATTTTACTGTTTCTTAATACATTATTTACATTTTCGGTATTCGCATGAGCCTTCGGATTTCTGCGTCACACATTCTGTCCTCTGTTATAACACTTCCCAGATATTTTACTGTTTCTTAATACTTTGCTTAGCTTTGGGAAGGCAACTTTCGCTATTTCAATGCTCCTTCGTATTTCAATGTTGGACTTTCCCTTTTCTGTTAAAACACTTCCCATATATTTGAATTTTACTTGTTTAATTTTGGTTTATACTTATATGTAATTGTTCAGTTTGCATGAGTAACTGTTACTTTAGCTGTCCAACTTGTATTCTGTCTTCTTGCAATTGATATTTTGGCTTTTCTTCCCGATTTTCTTCAGTAACTTCTGTAGGAGTTCTTGTAGTTTCCATTCTGTGTTTGCTATCTGTTGTCATAAGTTTTCTGTTCATCTCTGAAGAACATGTCAAACATTCATTTCCATATAAGTTTTACATTACACAGCAGGTTAGCCCATTTTTCTAACGAAATTTTACTGATTCCTAATAATTTATTTTCATTTGGAAGGCATCATTCACTATTTAAAATAGCATTCCGATATAGCTGACATATTTTTCGTTGTATGTCAAAAAATTTCCAGATATTTACACAAACAAATGGGTGTGGCACCATGCATCCAGGCGATTTGAAAGATATATTTATAGATCACAGAAATAAGTTTTTCGACTTTCGTCCAAAGACACACCGAAACACAAATTTCTTAGAGAGCAGACAACTTGAAGCGTTAAAACTTGCCTAGCGAAAGCGACGTGCCACAATCCACAGAACGGGTCGGGAGGTAGATGCAGTCCTATGTACCGAACAACTAGACATAAAAAGTTTGTTACCTTTTTCTTTGATACTTTGAACTTTTTGAGTTTTCATTTTATTTTCTTTTATGCATAATTGTGTGTTATCACCCCCGTTGAACTCAATTTGCATTACGGCCCCAACCCCTGTTGGATCTCGTCTGTCTAAGATCAATTCACAACATGGGGAGGCAGACTGGAGATCAGTGCAGTTACCCTGGTAACCAGGCGTCGGAAGCAGGTTGGGAACGGCGAGGCTGATATCAAATCTAACCAGATTCCTACCCGAATCACCAAAAGGTTAGAACGTCACGCTTGGAGCAGCGACACCCGGACGGAGCAGCGTAGCGAACAGCTGGCGCTGCGGCGAAGACGTCACAACTGGCGCCGTGGTGGATCAGGATAGAACGACACAGTTGGCGCTGCGACCGGGGGACGACGTCACATGGGTATATATTGAAGAGATTTTGCCATTTAAAATGGCGATACTAATTACTCTCAAGGCAGCCTAAAATTTTGACCAACATCAAACCTGAATAATGCACTCGTGTTTTCCATAACTCTAGTAGTAACTAGATAATGGTCAATGCGTGAAGTTTTTCTTTGTCTTTTTTAATCAAACTGTCCAACTTTTATTCTGAATGAGTCTACACTTCTTTTCCTGTATATCAAGCTCCTTCATTTTGAAAATCTTGAAGAATGATGTAATCAGATAAAAATTCTGTACGGAAAAAGCACAGGAAAAGGATGAAGAATAAATAAAAGAATTATGCAATATGAGAACCATCAAAAAATAAAAGAAGTGAAAAAAAAATACAAAACTAATGTTTAAAATATAGCGAAAAAGTAAAGCAAAGCAAAGACAAAGAAAAAAAATGAAAAGAAAAGGCTGGGGAAAAAATCTAATCATGAGCTGAGAAAATTAATTGGCTATCTTCCTGATTGCTTCATGGAAATATGGCTGTTTTTTTTTATTTTCCTTTTTATTACTTTAAAATTTTTTTATTCATTATAATTTAACTCGTATTTTTTTTTAATTACGTAACAACGACGATGAAGACAAATACGACAAAAAAATCCAAATGTATCGCCATTATATTAAAAAAAAAAAAGAAGAACAACCGCCATTTTTATTTATTTATACAATTTTCATGACGTTGTCTTCTTTAGACAGCGGTGTTTCGATCGGGGTAGAGACTTTAGCTCGATTCATTGCGAAGTGTGCGTTTTAACGTTTCGCTTGCTACCGATTGGATCTTAACAATAATGCGCAATACTGACTTCGCTTATACTCAACGCATATCAGATTTTGACAATCTTTCAACCAAGAATCTCGACATCTGTCTATATTACTGACATGAGGAATTGTAACTATTTACATTATTTGCATCGTTCGTACTTCTGTCCTCATCTTTGCTGTCATATTTACGACGTTTGCCAAGGATACATTTCCCAGGGGATAAAACCGTTGACTGAAATAATCCGAAATTGACTTGGTCCAAAAACCTTGTGAGTTCAATAACTTGCAACAGTAGAGGTGAACAAAAACTTGGAGAAATGAGTTACTAAAGGGAATTCAGTGAATATTGATATATCCAGAAAAGGCAAGGCTCGTGGAACTAGAACAGTCTACTCTTCGTGGATTGGGTGTGCTGATCGGTTAGATATTCCAACGTATATCACCTGAAGGGTCCGGAGCGCCGTGAATATGACAATAAAGATGAAGACAATAACACGAACAATGTAAATAGTGTAAATAAGAAATTCGACTACCATCAAAACGTTTGATTCATGTACGCTAAATTTTATTTACATACGAGCTTGACGCATTTTCTAGTATACAGCCTATTTACCACAGAGGCAAGAAGCTAAACGCTATTGCTGTTCTGGCTCTGTTTCCGAGGCAAATCTTCAGACGAATTCCATTTTGATTCACCGGTTCAAAACTTTAAGCCAAGACTCACCACGCTATGTCCCCGGAATCGAACCGCCCATATAATCCCCGTAACCCAGACACAAAGAGGGAGTTCCATACCAGATTAATTTTACAGAGGAACTGCTAGTCTG